TTTATCACCTCTTCAGGTTGTAAATCGTGTTTTTAAAAAGTAACTAAGTAACTAAGTAATTAATTACTTTTGAAAATAAGTAATCAGTAAAGTAACAGGATTACTTTTTTGGGGAAGTAATCAGTAATTAGTAACTGATTACTTTTTTCAAGTAACTTGACCAACACTGGGAATGATCACTCCATTCAGCCAGACTGAGTGTACGGGATCCATAGACCTGAGCTAGCGGACCAGCAGAAGATGAGCAGCCCATGGAAGGCAGTCCTGCTGTGGACTATGAATGCTGCTCTGTCCCAGAACTTTCTGGCCTTGACGAGGCAGCAACTGAAAACATTTAGTTAAAAGAAAAAACAGAAGCATTAAGATAAAAGATGCAGGAACTCAAAATTCAGTCGGATTTGCTGGATCCGATGATAGCGTTAGAGTCGACTCAGTGCCAGCCAGTACACCCGAGCTAGCGAGACACGTTACACAGTTTAACCCAGCTCACCTGTAATATTACTCTGTGATGTGTGACCATCACTTTATGTGTTTCGGGGGCAGTGTGAGCAGTCTCTCCACCACCTCGTTCGCGCATCAAGAAAAACTGCTGAGAAGGAACAAACCGTATCTGCTGTTCATGCAACACACATGGTTTGCAGCTTTTCTTACTGCCTAATTATTATTTGTGCATTAACATTTTTGAAAAGAAACTACGTGTCAAAAGATATGAATTCTACATTCAAGTTTTTACTGCAATTTTGAACTACACAAAATGTCATATCTGTGTCTATTTTTTATTTTTTATTACTTACATTTAGTTAGTTTTTTATAAACTTCTTGTCTGAGTGTCTCTTTTATCCTGATCAGAGGCCGTCATTGCGCCTCCATGATGAGCTCTTGTATGTTTCTATGAATAAGAAACGAACAACTGAAGGGTTTTGAAGATGTACATGAAGTGTGCATTTAATTCTAATGGATTCTATTTTTTTTTTTTTTTTTTTATTTAATGAATACTGTTAACCTGCTTCAATGTGAATTCTGAACCTGCATTGTTTTAATTTCCTGTGAATCACTTTAAGTTTTGGGTTTTCTTCTGCCGATACTCTTTGATGGTAATACCAACACAGATCCCCTGACAGTTAAAATGAAGGTTCGAGTACCTATCCCTGACTTTCAGCAACCAACACTAACTGGTGACATTTGAACGATCGGCCAGAGAAAAAGAAAATGTATTAACTGATTATCTTTAAAACCTAAGGAAGAAATAATCCACACATACTAACCGTGAGAATAAAAAAGGTGGTGAAGAAAAAATACTGAGATTTAATGATGATTTCATGAAGTGCTCAGAGACTCCATGACTGAAAATATTCCTGGACTATATGCTGTCTCTCGCTCTCTTCTCTGTCCCCTCACACCCAGTCAGTAGTGTCAGATGATTGTTGAGCCTGGTTTCATCCTGTTTCTGCTGTAACAAAACTAATTTCCCACGTGTGGGTAGGGATGGGTATCGTTTAG